TTGAGATTCTTTCCCTCTCCTTCTGCCCCTCCCCCGCTCGCTTACTTGTAAGTGCTCTCTCTCTCCTAGAATAAATAAAGCTTTAAGAAAAAGGGGGGAGGGCCTGTACACCTGTGTCCCTGTCCCGGAGCTAGCCCCCAGGGTTCAGACCCCCAGACCCCTGTGGCCCAAAGTAGAGATACAACCTTCCAGATGGGAGTCTACGTGGGGCCTACCACTGAGCCACCACTAGTCCCAGACGAGCCAGGAGAGCAAGGGAGAAGGGATCAATTATGGCCAAACCCCAACGTCCTGAGCCCAGGACACACTGGCACCTTTCTGGGCACCTCCCTGGCACTGCTGCTCCAGTCCACACTCCAACTCTGGGAGGAGGGCTCACCACTCCCATTGTGCAAATGAGGACACTAAGGTAGAGAGATACTTTTGACAGTTGGGCTGCCTTTGGTCTCAGTACAGCGAGTGCATCGTAAAGCAGGGCCACCCACTGCGGCCTGGAGAACCAAGGTGGGTGGGGCAGCAGAGGCCTGGGGGAATGACAGAGGGTCCCACTTGGATGTTCACAGGAGGTGTCTCTGGGGAAGTGATATTTGAATTCAGCCCTGAATGACGAATGAGAAGGTGGCAGCTCTGGGAGAGCCAGGGAAGAGAATTCCAAAAGGGAACAAGTGCAAAGGTCCTGAGGTGGAGAAGAATAGGATGGGTGTAAAACAGACGGAGACACTGCAGTAGCTGCTATTTAGGAAGAGAGGAAGAGTACGGCGCAGACAAGGAGGGGCTGTCAGCAGGGCCGGCCACCCAGGCACTAGGGCTGTGGTGAGTGGTTTGGACCTTACTCCAAGAGCAATGGGAAGCCACTGCGGGGTTTCATCTGATTGATGCTGGGCTGGTGTGTGGAGCCTAGATTGGGGGTTAGGGCAGGGGTTCAGAGGGGGGCCAAGGTTGAGGCACAGAGAGCCTGGAGGTGGCCGTTACTGTCTTCTGGGTGAGGGATGGTGGTGGCCTGGGCTTTAGGTGGAGACTGAAGTAGAGAAGTGGGAGATCTGGCATGTTTGGAGGGGAGCCCAGGTACTCTTTGTGCTCACCAGCTGGCCGACTCTGCATCTTCAGGAAGCTGTTCGGCAGACCCTCCTCCACAGCCCACAGCCCACGTGGGGGCCAGCTCCACCCAGGACGCCCCAGCAGGACCTTCTGTGACAGCACTCCTCCTACCAGGGCCTGGTTCCAGTCTGTTCATCTGTCTCCTCCACTCAGCTAGGCACTCCCAGAAGCAGAGGCTGGTTGTGATCTGTCTGGTGCCCAGCCTGGTGCCAGACCCCTCCTAACAAGGTTCACTCCAACCAGGGCTGGTCATCAACCCTCACTAACCGTCTCCAGCAAGACCCGGCCACTCCCTCTCTCTGAGGCTAGGGAGGGCTGGGTGGGTGCATCTCTGCAGAGCTTCCCTGGACATGGTGGCCGTGTGTCAGCAGCACTTCCTTCCTCTGCTCAAGTCTTGCTCATACCTGCACCTCCTGCTCCCCACAGGGCTCGTTAGCACAGCCCTCATCTGACCTCAGACCTTGGAACCCGGGAATGTGAGCTCAGTGGCCTCCAAGCAAGGGTCCACTGCCTCAACTGGGCTCCCCCACACTGGAACTGATGCCCGAGCCCCTAGCTTGGGGCAGGCACATACACCGGGATGGCTGTGGAGATCAGGCCTGGGGAACAGTCCCAAGTCCCTGCAAGAGCCAAAAGGCTCAGCCTTTTTATTTTTTTTCAACTGAGATGTAATTCGCACATCATAAAATTCACTGTTTCAAAGTATACCATTCAGCGGCTTTAGTATATTCACAAGGTTGTGTACCCATCACCACTGTCCAATTTCAGAACACATTCATCACCCCAAAAAGAAACCCCATACCCATTAGCAATCACTCCCCATTCCCGTCTTCCCTCAGCCCCTGGCAACCACGCATCTATGTTCCATCTCTATAGATTTGCTTGTTCTGGACATTTCATCTAAATGGCTAAAGGCTCAGCAGCCTTCCAGGCCATAGACTCCGAGTGGAGCCCACAAAAGGGGCCACAAGAGCAACCGGGCCTCATCTCCTTTCTGAGATTTGTGCCAGGCTGGCAGTCTCACCCATCCAAGAGTCTGAGTTTCCCTAGGGAGTGATGCCTTACTCATCCCAGAATTTCCTCAAAGTCAGGCCCAGGACGAGCTCACTGGTCCTTCCATCCCCACCCCCACCCCCAATCTCAGAGCAGAACAGAGCAAACAAAACAGAAACAAGGAGTGGCTACTGGTCGAAGCCAGGAACAGTCTACAAGCCTACATCAGATGCCTCACAAACATCAGCCATGAAATAAACTTTGATCTAATTCTCCCTTCCCAAAACAGTTCACAAGAAGGCACGTACCAAAAAGCAGCACCCTTTTAGGGAAAAAAATTTCCCTCTGCCCCCTGGCAGCTGGCTGTGAGGTAGTCATTTTGTCCATTGCCCCTGGCAAGGTTTGAGTCTGCCCGCTTTGAGGCATCCAACATGGTAGCCACATGGGCATGCCACCCACACGTGGGTAGAGGACACCCTGGCGTGGGCTTTCCCCACTGTTAAGTTAAGCGACTGGCCTTAAAAACTTGTCAGCACAACTGCTGACCGCCTGGATTCTCTGAGAAAGGGCAAAGGGGGCCAGAGGGCCTAGACCTAAGGCCCATGGGCAGGGGCTGGGCAGCCTGACATCTGTCCCCTGAAGAGGGGCTCAGGAAAGCAGAGCTTGGGAAGAAACGTCCAAAGGCAGTTTTTCCTCAGGGCCCTACAATGGACTCCTGACCCACTGTAAGAGTATCTTTTCTGATACATATGCTCCCAAAACATGGAGTCAATCAAATTTGCTTTTTAAAACCAACCATATTTTAAACGTTCACACAACTTTTTGGGTAACACGAGCAACTACTCCGATTATTTATTTTGAACTATCAGGTTTGCTTAAAAGAGGCTCCCCTATATTCATGGACATTTTCCTCTCCCGGTGTCACCCCAACTTAGGCCCTTGCCTCTGTCCTTGTCCCCAGCCCCATGGAACAGCTGGTTCCAGCACACAGAACATCAGCTCCAGAGCCTGTCTTCTTCCTCCCATGTTCCCAGACAGGCAGTGGGAAGCTGCAGCTGGGTGGGGAGTAGGGCAGGGGATTTACGTCTACAGGAGAGAGTATGATATACAGAAAAGCCTCTGCTATAGCTTAAGAAAGATGCCCAAGTTGAAAAAACAAATGACGCAGGCCAGGAGAATAATGGTGTGCCTGCCCTCAGCCCCCACCCCCGATCCTGACTGCTGGAGTTGGCTGTCGGTCGCCTACACTCTGACCAGTGTGAGCTTAAGGACACCAAATGGTCCCATCACCACACCCTGAAAGGGAACGAGGCCCTCCCACTCTGGGCACTCTCCCACTGGCCCAGGCCATGAAAGGAACGCAGAAATCCCGCCTCTTCCCTGCACCACTGTGGAATCACAAGAGGCTGGAGGGGAGCCTGCCTTCCTAGGACTATTCTCGGGCCTAGGCCTTTTGTCTACTGAAGGCTGTCACAGTGACCCCAGCGCCCTATGCAAGCAACTCACCTGCCGGCAGTTTGGCAGCGCTGCATTATGTCAAGTTGGCCCAAAATCTAAGGGTTACACGTTGTAAGGGACCCAAAAGCATCTACGTTAAGCATCTGCTTGTGCAGGGCGGAGGCCTCTGGGGAGAGCTGCTGCATCAGGTGGCAAGGTCAGAGGGCAAGCCCCCTGCCCCACAGACTTGAAAGAAGCAAGCACCTCATAGACGGAGCCACCCTAGAGCAGAAAGACCACTCAACCAACATGCTCCTTCTGCCTATGAGGAAATGGGGAGTCCAAGCGGCAAGGAGCTCATTTTTACAGTCAACGGTTTACCAAGTTTTCCATTCTGGGGTTTCTAGAGAGAAGCCTCAATCTGCCTTCTCACCTCCCACCAGCTTCGGCATGAAAACAGCTTTCAGAACCAAGCCTCCTCCCTCCTGATCTGAAACAGCCTGGCAGTCACCCTCCTCCCCCGGAGTGACCCTCCAACTAGCCATGTGACCCGCCTACCTGCTGGCCCCTCCTGCACTGGACCTCCATTTGCAGCTACCAGAGTTCCCCAAACACTTCGTGTACTCTAGGAGCTCTCATCTCACCCTCGATTTAGGCCAGCTGTGGACAGTCTGAAACGCTAATCTCAATTTTTTTTTAAGTGCAGCCGTACTGCTCCAATTCACTCAGAATAGGCTCTTCACCCTTTAGATCATCCGTACCAATGAGGCAGAAAAGCATGGTTTGTAATGATCATGGAATCTTTTCGAAGCACCTAAACGTATTTAATTAGCAAAAGCATTAAAGGGGCCCCTTACCCACACCACTGATTTGAAATCACCGCCCAGAGCTTATGAGAACAAACCAGTCTCATAAAAACCTACTTTCTACACATAGCGGTCAGGGTCTTTCTCTGGCAAGGGGGCATTCATGCCAATAAGGATAGAGTGAGTAGAGCATGTTTCTCCTGCGCAACCAGGAGCTCTGAAACACACTACCCTTTCCGCCCATTCTTCCAACATCCAGGCTTGGGGTCTTAGGCTTGGGGAGAAGGCTAACTGCAAAACTCACAGCTAAGACCACACTACCAACACCACCCTCAGGAGGGGAGGGGATGGTGTCAGCTCAAAAATTCTGGGAAAAGACTCTAGCCTGGCATTACCTAGCACCAGGACAGGGCCTGCACCTGCTTGTGAGCAAGCTAGGAAGACAGAAGCCAACAGCTGGAGGGAAGGGGGGTGCCTAGGGCAGTCTCTCTCCTTCCTTCGGCAAAGTTCTCCCGGTTCAGATCACACTGGGTGTGTGAGGGAAAAGGCAGCAGAACGCAGAGTTCTCACCTATCTGTCTTGTTCTAGGCAAAAGTCACTTGTTGCCCATGCCTCACATACCTGGTCAAGGAGGTAGCAGGCACAAGGCCTGCCGGGGCCACTTACCAGCGGGGGCTGCGGCTGGGGGTGCTGCCCGGCTCCCGCGGGGGGCGGGTAGTGCATGAGCAGATTGAAGGCGGAGTAGACCGTGTCTTTGTACATGCCGCTGGCGCACTCCGGGGCCTTCAGGCCTGGAAAAACCACAGCTGGGTCAGATGCGCCCGACCGGGTGGCTCGGGCTGGAGGCAGTCTGCTCTCCAGAGAAAGAACTGCCGAGGGGTCCGGCTCACGTGTGTGACCGGAGAAGGCACGGGCTGGGGGTGCCTCAGTTCGGATGAAGGACCCCGAGTCCAGGCCTCCCCTCGGCGGCCCCTACTCGACCCCCAGCCCGCCCTCCGGGCCAAGGAACCTGGGCCAACGCTTTCTCCTCAAGACGGGGGATTAGGCAGTCACCTGGGCAGGAGGGGAGGCGGAGATGGCGGGGGTCTGTTTACTCCTATAAAGGTCAGGGCACCGGAAGTGACTCGAGCCCGGCGGCGCCCTGGAAACCCGCCCCCCACTCCCCCCGCCCCGGCTTTGCCGCCTCCTCTAGCTGCCGTGGGGGGAGGCCCCCCCAACCCCGTCCTCGGTGGCCCCCCTGTCCCACCCGGCCCTTAGCGGGTGGAGGGGAGGCGGGCCGAAACTCACCGTCCTCCAGAGACTCTGGAAGTTTGTCGGGGAAAAGTCTCTGCGAAGTGTGCTCCCGTCCGAGCGCCTGCGGGGAGATCCAGAGGGGCCGTGAGGGGCGCCGGGCTCGCGGCCCGGGGCAGGAGGGGTGTGAGGGATGGGTACCCCAGGGGCCCGCGAGGGCGGGGCGGGGCCGGCCGGGCGGGGGGGCGGCGGGCGCGGGAGAGGCGCGGGGCGCGGGCCGGCGCTCACCTCAGCCCCGACCTCCGCCTCGCCGCGGGCCCCGCCGCCGGCCCCCGGCACCTCCGCGCCTCCCGCCGCGCCCTCGGACTCATTGACCAGCGACGACTTGAGCTCGGCCAGGTCGCGCTCGGGGCCCGCGGCGCTGTCGCGGCTCTTGTCGTCCTGCTCCTCGCCCTCGTCCTGGAAGGCCAGCAGCTCGTCGGGCGCGCCGAGGTCGTCGCCCCCGCCCGCGCCGCCCCCGCCGGAGTCCAGCTGCGGCATGGTGCGCTCCGCCCGCCGGGGCGCGGGGCGCGAGAGTGCGGGGCGCGGAACCGGCCCAGCAGGCGGCGAGCCCGGAGTCCGGACCTCCGAGCCCGAAGCGCGGCGGGCGGAGCGCGGGCTGACTCCGCCTGGGCGGGCTGCGGGCGCGGGGCGCGGGCGCCAGGCTGAGCGGCTCCGGGAGCTGGCGGGTCCGAACATCAAAGGCGCCGCCGGCCGAGTGCGGGGGGCGGGGCGGGGACGCCGGGGGCGGGCCCTGTTGGTGGGCGGGGCCAAGCTGCCCCGCCCCGCGCCTCCTCTCCCCGAGAGGCTGCGACGCGAGCAGCGCGCACAATCTTAAAGGGCTCGCTCTTCCCGGCGTCACTCTGGGAGGCGTCCGGCAAGTTCGAAAAGCATCACCCTTCTTCCGAAATATGGGGACTCTAAAGGAGACTCCTGACCCCGCTTCCTCACCTACAATAAGGGATTCCCGCTCTGCGCCCGGGTTTCTCCCCCAAGTGCCGAGGGAGCGGGTCTCCTAGGCCTTGGGGCGGGAACTGGAACGCAAGCCAAGGTGTAATCGCTTTGGCGCGCCGGACCAGTACCTCCAGGGCTTGAAACTGGGGGCTTCCTAGAGGTTGGAGGCTGTTCGAGGCTGCGCGCGAACCCCGCCTGGCAGGGTTAGGATTCCTCAAATTCCTGGTCTCTGCCCTGTTCTCCAACCTTAAGCCGACCTGGGACCAGGCTGCCCAGATACAACGCGAACACAAGCATATTCCCCTCACACATTTATTGAGCGCCTGTTGCATGCGGGGCTCATGCATCACACATCTGCCATGTGGCATCTCTGAGGCTCCAACAGAGCCAAGAGGACAAGGAGGAAGGATCCCCCAAACCCCTTGAGGATCCTTCAGCCACCCACCCCCTCCCTTCCTCCCAACTCGGTTCTACGCCTAGACCCTGCGGCCCAGGGATGCGAGCCTTTGGGCAGCCACGTGGGCCGCGGGATTCCGACGAGGGGTGCGTCGTCAGAAGCAACTCGGCACAGGAAGTCGCATTCCCATGGAGCCAATTGACTGGGAGCCTGACGACCGCGGACTCGCGCAAGATCCAAGCTGCAGGCTCTCTCTATTAGAGCCAGAGGAGCGCGGGAACGTGCGCCAGCTTCCATCACGTCTACAGGGCACCCGGGGTCGTGTCCACGCGGGCCTCCACAGCACGCTTGGCCTCGGCTCCACCACTGTATCTGGGAAAGACACAGGTCCTTTAGGATCGCGGTGCAGTGAACCGCAGCCCCCCAGCAGTTTTCTGAGTTGGATTCAGTGTAGACTTTCCCATCTCTCCGGAGAGCACAGGGAAAGAGGGTATTTGGGAAGGAGGGTGTCTTGGACGCCTCTCTCGCTCGGAGCCCCACGGGACCCCTGGCAGCGGCGCAAAGCCGGGCCGGAAGAGGGCCGCGCCGCGCTCCCGGTCCAGGCCCAGCCTGGTTGGCTGCGGATCAAAGAGCCAGGGCCGTCCTTCTCTGCGTTCAGATCCTATCTGCGCCGGCTCAGCGGGGCGGCTCGGCCTCCTACCGCACCGCTGCAGTGCCCACTTTTCCTCCCTTCCGGGGGCTGGGGGGTGGGGGTTACTAGCGCTCAGTTTGGCGATGGAGATGTGGAGAAGATCCTGCCCATTAGGTTCCCCCAGTCTCCTTTTCTGAGTGTGAGCTTGCTGCTGAGTCTCACTTTATCCCCACTGGACAGTGGTGGTGGTGGGGGGGGGGGGGTGGAATCCAGCAAATCTTAGCCCAGTAGAGAGGGGAAAGGGTACAGGAGGAGGGGCTCATGCCCTCCCCCATCTCAGCCCCTGAGGTTATAAGATCTGACTTGGGACGAACCTCCTCTGGGAAAGCTGAATGGGAAGATGGATCTGCCTAACTCAAAGGTTTTGGGGGTCCTCTTGCCTTTCAGGGTGACCCCAGCTTAGCAGGCACCTCCTCCAGGATAAAGGTCCCCAGACCCATGAGTGGACACAGGACAGTGGGGGGTTGTTTTCTCTAGTCCATGGAGAAAGGAGAGAAGTCAGGGCAACAGTGAGGTGGTTTGTTTTTCTCAATAAGGCTGAATTTTTTCAGCTTAAAGTATTAGCTTTTAATCAGAGATTATGGATTTTCTGCTTTATTGGTGTAAAAACAGCCTTTCTTTACTAAAATAATAGTGGAAATTGATTTTTTAAAACATCCTTATTTGGCAAGAGAATAACTTGGCCATTCTATTCACTCTCCCACCCCCAAAACTCTTTGGACATTTTCTAGGGCTGTGAAATCCCAAAGTCTGGGAACCACTACCCTACAGGATCATGCCCTGCTGGGTGGAACCAGGGGAGGAGGCAGGTGAGCAGGGAGAACATGGGTGTGAGGAAGAGAGGTAAGGGAGGGAGAAACAAGCTGAGTACCAGACAGCTACAGCCATACTGAAATCAGCTTGAATGCCTGCTAGGGAGAATCTCCTATTACCTAACTCTGGACTCAGGCTGTGGAGAGGGGAGAGGCAGTGGTGGGGTTCCTGTTCTCCAGAAGGCATTGTCTGCTTGAGAAGCTGAGAAGTTATTAGAGCCAAGTTTGTTGGTTATTAGTCTATGCAGACCATCGGCAGAAGGAGCTCAGATATGGTGAAATCAATGTGGCTGAGTGATCATGTGGGCTTCCTGGAGGAGGCAGACTTCATCTGGACCTGGGAGGCTCTGTAAGGTTTGGAGAGATAGAGAAGAAAAAGAGCTCAGGCTTGTCCATCAAAGGCAGGTGTGGCCCTGCAGCAGCCTGTGGTCTGGTCAGCACTGATTCCATCACCATCCTCCTCATTATCACCTGCCACATGACTTCATATTCCTGAGTGATTGCTATGTGCCAGGCGTCATGTCAAGAGCTCCACACACATTATCTCATTTAATCATCAAACCAATTCTGTGACATTGGGACTATTATCCCCATTCATGAATGCGGAAACAAAGCTCAGAGAGGTTGAATAAGTCACAGGATCTCACAGCTTAGATGTGAGAGTATCAGAATTCCAAAAACTTGACAGTCTGACTCCTGGACTTGCACCCTAACCACCACCACACACTCTAGTGTTCCATCATGACCTCTAAAATTCCAGAAGGGGGTCCTTACCTGCTTTGTGGTCTCTGCAGAAAAATGCTGATGAATGAACTGTGACTAATAGAGTCCTTACTTTCCAAGGGGCTCATGTTGCTTGGAGGGACCACCAGGAGGATTGGGGAATCTCCTGTTGGCCTGTGTAGGGTGGTTCAAGCTCTTTGCTAGATAGGAGGGCCCAGAGCATCTCCCTTGAGTCAGACCTCAGTCTGTACCACCTCTGGGCCCACCCTGGACTGCCCGCTCTGGGCACCAACTCAGATCCCATACAGTCACGATGGCTCTGGGGTTCTTCCCCAGGGTGGTGAGTGGGATCTGAGTGGGATCTGCTGCGGCTGCCCCTCTGGAGGTGACCAGGCAGTTTCAGGATGAAGGCCAGAGTCTTCTGCAGGAAGGCCCCAGAGTTTTCTGGACCCATGAAGTCCAGGTCAGAGCTGAAGATTTATTATTTTTTTTTAAAGATTTATTTATTTGAGAGAGAGAGAGTGTGTGTGTGTGCACGTGCATGTGGGCACACGCACATGCAAGTGGGGGGGCAGGGGCAGAGGGAGAGAATCTTCAAGCAGACTCCCAGCCTAGTGTGGAGCCCGCTGGGAGCTCCACCTGGGGCTCGACCTCACGACCCACGAGATCACGACCTGAGCTAAAACCAAGACCTGGACCCTTAACCGACTGAGTCACCCAGGTGTCCCCGGAGCTGAAGAGTTAATGAGGCTTCATCTTCATGCACGTGAGCCACAGGTGGACATGTGGTGTCCTCGGAGGCTGGACACAGGATGAATTCAGAGCTCACAAGGGTTGAGGGTCTGACCAAGAGAGCTCCAGCTTTAGATTTAGGCAGATCTATCTGAGTTTGCATCCCTGCCCTACCATTTACTAGCTGGGGGATTCCAGACAAATCACTGACCCTCTCCGAGCCTCAGCTTCCTCCTGGGTAAAATGGGTATCACCCCCCAAGGCTGCCTAGCACTGCGGGAGTGATCTTTTTTTTTTTTTTTTTTTAAAGATTTTTATTTATTTGACAGAGAGATACAGCGAGAGAGGGAACACAAGCAAGGGGGAGTGGAGAGGGAGAAGCAGGCCTCTTGCCGAGCAGGGAGCCCGATGCGGGGCTCGATCCCAGGACCCTGAGATCATGACCTGAGCCGAAGGCAGACACTTAACGACTGAGCCACCCAGGCGCCCCTGCGGGAGTGATCTTGAGATGATTTCCATATCCTAGGAAAGAGCTTAGCTCAAGGCCTGGCACATTCCAAGAGTTCTAATAAATGGGTGCTCTTGAGCTAGATGGTTTTGGGAGGTTGTTAGGCTAATTGGCTCTTCATGTAAGGTCATGTAAGTCATCTAAGTGTTCTCATGGCCTGGGCCCACCTCATCACAGCTAAGGCTGAAAATGTACTTTTCCTTTCCTTTTCTTTCAAGTTCCTTCACATGAAGGGCCCGTGTGAACTCTCTGACCTTTTCTAATGGGGAGACCCTTGAAATGTGGCATTTCCAGAAAACAACTCAAAGGACCCCCAGAGGGGTTTGGTAAATTACAACGGGGAGAGGTTGGGAGCGGCATCTCTTCCTGCCCTTCAGCCCGCCTGGCATCCTGTCGGGACATGCCGAGCACAGCCTGGAGGCCTGGCTGCTGGCTCTGGGCAGGAACACTTCCCGTGTGAGCCTTCTCGCTCAGGGCAGAGCCTGGCCACACATCCTAGAGGCAGACTGTGGTTTGTTACTAGAAACACAGTGTGCTCTCTGGAAACTGTGTAGTTTCACTGTATGTTCGTGTGTGTGTGTGTGTGTGTGTGTTTGCATGTAGGTGGCTGTGGCCTGCAGAATGGCAGACACACAATTGTTGTGATGTGACTACTCTGGGTCAGGTACCAGTCAGCTGCCTTCAGAATGAAGCAAGGGATAGGGTGGACCTTGCTGGCTCAGTCGGTAGAGCGTGCAACTTTTGATCTTGGGGTCTTGAGTTCAAGTCCCATATTGGGTGCAGAGATTACTTAGACAAATAGGTATTTTAAAAAATAAAATAAAATGAAGCAAGAAAGGTTTGGTGTCATTTTTCCCTTCTTTATAATCTTCCATGGGTTCTCTTCCCACCCCATTCCCCAGACTTCATGCAATAACCAAGAATTGCTCTTAAAATAAAAATTTAATGAGGGCACCTGGGTGGCTCAGTCAGTTAAGCATCTGCCTTCTGCTCAGGTGGTGATCCCTGGGTCCTGGGATTTAGTCCCACATCGGGCTCCCTGCTCTGAGGGGAGCTTGCTTCTCCCTCTGCCTCTGCCTCTCTCTCCCTCTGTTTCTCATGAATAAATAAATAAAATCTTTTTAAAAAATAAATAATTTAATGAAAAAATGCAATGATAAAGCTAGATGTTAGCTCTTCCTGGTGAAACCCCAAGGAAGTCTGGCCAAACTGGCTTGCGGGGTGGTAGTGGGGAGACTACAAAGAGCTGCCCCTCAGCTTCAGAGATCTTGTTAGGACAGTTTCCCACAGGCTGAGTTCCCACATCATGCCAGCCGCGGTTCCCAGTGAATGGGGCTGGGAGTCGCTCACCAGGAAGAGGAAATCACCCCGGGGTTTCCACAGGAAGGGGTCCGGACTCAGAGGCACCAATGTGTCGGCATCGAAGGTAGCCTGTAAGTGGTCCTTGTATGGCACGCACTGTGTCAGAGTGCATGGGTCTCCGAAGAGCTTGGGAGTGGGGGGCCTGTGCCCCGGTCCCAGCATTACCCCCTGACCTGCTGCGTGAACTCAGGTAAGTCGTCTGCCTTCTCTGGGCTCAGGGCCCCTTACCTAGTTCCAGGGAGGCAGTGAGGAGCCTGCAACAATGAGACCAGAGGGGAGACAAGAAGCATCACAAACGTGACAGGAAGCGAGGGACACAGAGCCAGGGTCCCTGTGGGAGTTGCCTGCCGTTTCACAGAGGAATGTGCCCGTATTAACTCATGTTTGGATTGTGAGAACAGCCCTGGACACGTTGATAGAGGAACGTCTTACCAGGAAAGTACCGCTAGCTATCTAGTTGACACAGGGTTGTAACGGCTTTGCTGCTTATTCCCACTGCTTGTTATAGAGCTGGCAAAGTGCAGTGATCAGAAATTTTTAAAGATTATTTATTTATTTGTCAGAGAGAGAAAGAGAGGGCATGAGCAGGGAGAGCGGCAGGCAGAGGGGGAGAAGCAGGCTCCCGCGGAGCAGGGAGCCCGATGGAGGACTTGATCCCAGGACCCTGGGATCATGACCTGAGCCAAAGGCAGCCGCTTAACCAACTGAGCCACCCAGGCGCCCCAATGCTCAGAAATGTTTAGACTAAATGGATGGATGGATGGATCATTCACAGCCGTGATCACTTAAAATCTGGGGAGGAAGTACTCTGCCTAGTACCTGCTTTCAAGGAACTCTTGTGGGACACATCAGGATAGATAGAGTTTCCAGGTGCCAAGGGTTCAGGAACATGGCTGTTGTATATATATGTCCTAGCACATAACCGGCAGTCAAGGAGGGCTTCCTGGAGGAAGAATGTCAGCCTAGGAGGCAAGTAGAATTAAAGAGAACAGGGCTGGGATGCCTACCTGGCTCAGTCGGTGGAGCATGTGACTCTTGATCTGGGGATTGTGAGTTCAAGCCCCACGATGAGTGTAGAGCCTACTTAAAAAAAAAAAAAAGAGGACAGAGCTTTGATCAGGTGGAGCAGTAGACACATCTGGCTTATGGTGGGCTTGGACCCCATAGGATCTCTGGGGCTTAGGTGAGCCAGGATCCTGGGGTAAAGTTTGGCCATCTATTGGGCATTGCCCAGAATGGCATATCTTCATGTCCCAGGTCCTACAGTCTCCCTACCCCCATCACCGGGGACAATTCCTCTCCTCCCCAGACACTGGCTCCCCCTGATTATTCCCTCTCCAGAACAGACTCCTGGGTGCATAAGCCACCATCTTCCACTTGGAGAGTGCCCCCTTTTATTCTGAGCACCTGGCATGTTGCAAGAAGGACCAACGGGACGTGGTAGGCACGGAGGCCTTGAGAAGAGCCTGCACTAGACCCTGTAGTCCTGGTCCCAATGTGCACAGCCAATAAAGGCTCTGAAAAGGCCTGCACCAGAGATATCCTGTCTAGCCTTCTTCAGTCAAGTGTCTCCCAAACTTATTTGACCATAGAACTATTTTTCCATGTGTAATTTTCCAAAGAACAGAATTCCTCTGGAAGTCTTTTGGGGAATGCTGGTATCCCTGCTTTCAGAAGGCAGAGAGAGACACTTCTTATCCAATTCATACTCCAGTCTGTGTCCCTGATAGAGAGGAAATTAGCAGTGGCTGAACCCCAAACTGGTCATCACAGCTCTAACCAGGCTTCACTCCTACCCTACTGGGTTGTCACCTTCTTGGGATCATGGACCCTTCATCTGTGCCCTTGCTGAGTGCTAACATGGACCAAGCATACAGTGGTGCTTAATAAATACCTGCTGCCCATGAGGTGAAGCTCTTGTGTATGGGTCCAACCCAACTTGGTTCTTCAAGCTCCCGGCGGGGGGGGGGGGGCGGTCACGGTATTCCCATTGGTTTGTTAGTTGGGAATTCTTATATTCTTATGGGGCCTGGACTTATTTCTGGTCTCTCCCTCATATGGGACGCTTTCCCACCTGCTCCTGTCCACAGGGATCTCTCTCCCTTCCAGATCCCCATGGCCTGTAGAATTGAAGCCGTTCAGCTTCTCCTGGGCTGTTCGGTGTGTTTCCTGTGAGCGAGTCTCTTGTGTCTCCACTGCTATCTGCTTTGTCATCTGGCAGTCAGGAGCTGGGCCTGAAGCTCATAGCCTGTGTGGAAACCGGGGCTCCTCCAGCTCCTCATTGTGGGTGGGAACGTGAGCCAGTCACCGCTCTCTTGGAGTCTCATTTGCTCGCCTGTTCGGTGGGGGACAATCATGGCACTTGTCTCAAAGAGCCGGGAAGAGGGGATGTGCTCTTGCTTGTAAAGTACTTAGCACAGCATAGTCTGGTGAAGAGTAGGTACTGGCTGAGTGGTGTCCAGTGTCACTTACTATTATTGGTCCCAGCCAGCAGCACTGTGCTCAGGACCGGACCCTTAGAAGAGCCCGTCCCTGCAACCCTACAGTCCTGCTAATCATGGGTGGAACGCAGGGACCAGGGTAGGGAAGGCACTAGGAGCCCTGCCTTCTGAGGCCAGCCTGAGGCTGCCAAGCATTCAGCCTGAGTGAAGGCTCCTCCTGCCAAAAGATGGCCATCTCCAGATGTCTACAGGCTGGAGGGAGCCGGCTGGCCTGTGCGGCCTGAGGGCAGAGACAGGACTAATGGGAGGAAATTACATGGAGAGATTTCATCTCAGCTTGAGGAAACACATCTACCAGTCAGAGCTGGCCAACCATGGCCTGCCCAGGCTGCCAACAGAGGCAGTGAGCTCCCCGTCACCGGAGGTGTGCGAGCAGAGGAGTTCCCGAGGGAGGGAAGCTGCTGAGGAGGGTTTCCACCCTTGAGGCCCCTCCGAGGCTGTGGGCAGTCCCTTATACTTCCATGCAGCTCTGCTCCTCACTTGGCTTGGTGGAGTCCACTGCAGGCATCTGAGCTCTGGCAGCTTCTGAGGTGAGCATGAGAGCAAAGCTTGGACATCTCCAGCTCCAAATTGGGGCTGGAGGCTGGAGGGGAGTGCTGCTGTAAGAAGCTGATTTCAAGGGAGATGAATGACCGCATTACCTTTTTGGAGAAGCAGCTTAATGCGGTGGCTGGTAGCATGGAGCCTGAGCCCAGTCTGTGCCCAGGCACCCCTACCCCAGGTCTGCTGGGGCTGGGGACAACAGAGATAGGCGATGGGAGGGGGCTTGTTTTTAAATCAGCTTCCCCTCCCTTGCTTCAACTTCTGAAACCACAGGCTGGAAGGAGAAAGATGGGAAGGAGCAGGAGAGGAGAGAACCTGGGTTTCCATTTTGGCTCTGCTCTGTGACTTTGGGCAAGCCACTTAACCTCTCTGTGCTTCAGTCTTCTAATCTGTGAGATGGAATGATAATCATACCTCTCTCGCTAGTTCTTGGAAGAATTAAGTGGGTTATTATTGGCAGAGTCCTTGAAATAGTTTGTGGTCCCTATTAAGTACCATAAAAATATTTGTTAAATAGATAAAAATTAATTGAGCAACTCCTATAAGCCTAGCCTATTCAACATACAGGGGTTTTACAATAATCATCTTGTTTAGTCTTTACAAAACCCTAATGAAGTTGCAAATCCTATTATTAGGGAAACTAAGCCCGAGAAGGTCAAGTTCCTTGCCCAAGGTCACACAGCTGGTGAGAGGCAGAGCTAGGATTTAAAGTCAGGATGCTCTGCCTCCTGGACCTGGGCTCTCAACCACTCAGCTCCGTCACACCAGGAGTTTGCAGTCACTCTAAGGGAGGTGAAGTGCCCACAGGAGCAGGGCAGCAGATCAGCAGGCAGGAGGGGGTCAGAGAAGCGCCCTCCCTGTCCCTTCTCAGGCCGGAAGTTCCCTCTTAGCGGCTGCTGCCCCGGGGGGAGATTTTTTTGGACTAATTTGTGGCAACATTGCTGGGTGACTCCGATTACAAATTGCAGCCTTGCTTCCTCCAGCTGAGTAATCTCCATCGTGGGGTCCTGGAAACACCTAGAACTCCGGGCTACTGGTGTTGGCTTTGGCGGTGACACTGCTGAGGGAGATGGGCCACCTCACGCAGCCTCTAGGACCAGGGACAGGAGCTGGGAGACCTGGATTCCCTATACAGTCTCTCTGGGTGTGGGTGAGGCTGTGGGTCTGGGATGTGCTGCTCACTTCCATTCTCTCTGCTGTCTCAGCAGGACCCCTCTGTCTTACTCAAGACCATGTCCCCTGGGCTGAGCCAGGGCCTGGCTGAGAGTAAATGTCTAATAAATATGTGTTAGACCCAAGAATATCTCCAGACACCTGCACTGCACTTTACTGTTTACAAAACCCCAATCCTATCTATTATCTCATCTGATCCTCACAACAGCCCTGAGAGGTAGGTCTTTTAACCCTATTTTACAGAGGAGGAAACTGTGGCTCTGAGAGGAAATGACTCGCCCAAGGTCACCGAACTCAAACCCCGGTCTCAGTCTCAGGGCTCTAAATTCAGTCTAGTCCTTCCTTGTGTGGGGACTGTGAGGAACAGAAGGGACCTCTAGTTGGTCTTGGCTTCTTCGAAGGCTCCTCAGAAATGGGAGATGGGGTTATTGGCTCCCAGGGGACAGCCTCCAGGGCTTCTGATGGGGGGAAGGGGTGCTCAGGAAGCTAAGGATCATTGATTCATGTACCAAGTCCTTCCCCCGCCTCTCCGGGTGCCAGGACAAGTGGGTCCATGGCCTCAGGCTTTCTGTCAGGGAGGTGGGTCCAAGTCACTGTCCAAAGGTGTGGCATCAGAGTTTGCCTCATTAAGGGGGAACAGCGCTCTGTTTCTTGGAGACAGAGCCCCCAGGAAAACTTTTGGGATCCCTCTTGGGGCTGTGCTAGGACCTGGGGGTGCAGAGCCAGCTCTGCGGAACCAGCCTCCCTTTTGCCGAGGTGAAAGTGTGTCTCTTCAGCTTTGGGTCACTGGTGGGCCTCTGCTGACTGCTGTGGTTTTCCTTGTCAGCTTTGCTAGTTTTACTTTTTGTTCAACACTCTATTATTACTGACATCTTAAAGGGTTTCCCCTCTGGTCAAGCTTGGTCTTCGTGTTTATAATTTGAGAACTTCTCTCTTCTCCCTCTTTTCTTTTCTTTCTCTTCTCAGCCCATGG